GCAAAACTTTCAATCACTATAGATGGAGAAAACAAGACATTCTGTGACAAAACCAGATTTATGCAATATGTATTCACAAATCCAGCCCTACAGAAAGTTTTAGAAGGAAAACTCTGAGCCAAGGAAGTTAACTACACTCAAAATAACATGGGCAATAGATAATCTTTCTTTACCACAAATCAGAAATAGGGGAAAAACTCACACAAAAAAAAACCACCAAAAATGGATCCAAAGCAAACAAGATTCAACAATCAATGGTCATTGATATCCCTGAATATCAATGGTCTTAATTCATCTATAAAAAGACACAGGCTAACATAATGGATACAAAGACAGAATCCATCCTTCTGCTGCATGCAAGAAACACACCTCAATCTCAAAGACAAACGCTACCTTAGGGTTAAGAGTTGGGAAAAGACTTTCCAATCAAATGGACATAAGAAGCAAGTGGATGTAGCTAACCTAATATCTAACAAAATAGACTTCAAACTAAAATTAATCAAAAGAGATGAAGGTCATTTCATATTCATCAGGAAGAAGTCTCAATTCTGAACATATATGCCCCAAGTATAAAGGCGCCCATGTTCATAAAAGAAATGTTACTAGAACTCAAATCACATATTAAACCCCACACACTTATAGTGGGATACTTCAAAAGCCCACTCTCACCTCTGGACAGGTCAACCAGACAGAAACTTAACAAAGAAACAATGGAACTAACAGAAGTTATTACCCAATTGGGTTTAACAAACATCTATAGAACATTCCACCCAAACAAAAAAGAATATACCTTCTTCTCAGCACCACATGGAACCTTCTCTAAAATCAACCACATACTTGAGCAACAGATACAAGAAAATTGGAATAACCCCCTGTATCTTGTCAGATCACCACAGCTTAAAATTAGAATTCAGCGTCAACACAAATTGCAGAAAACTTACAAACTCATGGAAATTTAACAATGCTCAATTGCATCACCCCTGGGTAAAGGAAGAAATAAAGAAAGAAATAAAAGATTTCCTAGAATTCAATGAAAATGAAGGCACAATATACTCAAACCTTTGGGATACTTTGAAAGCAGTTCTAAGAGGGAAATTCATAGCACTAAGTGCCCACAGAAAGGAACTGGAGAATTGCCACACTAGAGAATTAACAGAACACCTGAAAGCTCTAGAACACAAAGAAGGAAACTCATCCAGGAGTAACAGATGCCAGGAAATAATCAAATTGAGAGCTGAAATCAATAGAGTAGAAACAAAGAAAACAATTGCTTGGTGGGTAAAAGCACTTGCTGTGTGTGTACCTAATGACCTGGGTTCAGTCCTCAGAATGCATAGTGGAAAGAAAGAACCAAATCCCAAAAGTTGTCCTAGGATCTCCTTGTGTGTGCAGTGTCCAGATCCAAAGTCACATAACACATATTGCATACACACACACACACACACACACACACACACACACACGCACGCACGCACAGAGAGAGAATAAATTAATAAATAAAATTTTAAATTTTTTTCATTGAAAAGTAATTTGTCCTAGATAGCGCACTTTAGTTAATAGAATCAGATGAGTTGACATGTCCTGACACCCGAGTCTGGCTCTGTCACCTTCTCTGCTCTGACACACAGGTTCTGAAGTGGGGAGGTGAAGAAGGCAACGTCTTCACATTGCACATCTAGTTGAGCTCATTAAGATCACTGAGGTCCCATGGAGTGCTGTGTAGAATTGGAATCAGAAGGAATGTCACTACACAAAACTGAACCAGAACCTTCCTAGGCGAGAGGCGTGGGATGAGAGGCACAAAGTCCATCTCATCATAAGACGTCCTCCATCTCCTCTCAAACATGAAGGTGCCAGGCCACGACACCGGGTTGAAAAGGCAGGGGAAATCAATGGAAATTGAGTTGCAAAATTATGATCAATCTGGTGCCATACTGGAATTCTCAGTATATAATTATTGGAGGAAGGAAGGAGGAAGAAATAAGAGAGGGTTGACGTGGTGGCCAGCTGGGAAAGAATGAGCAGGTAGTTAGCATGTACACACAAAAGCCTGGATGTGTGTCCTAGTTACTGCTGGCCACTAGCCTCACAGATGCATAGATCTTGCCAACAGCCTAAAGATGAGGAGTTACCTCATACCTAGAACTGTTACTGGAAGGCTCTTAACAGGAAAGGATTAGATCAGGAAGCCCCATGGGCAACCAAGGATCTGATCAGGAAGCCCCTTGGGAGTCAGGATTCCAGGCAGCTACCTCTACAGAACAGCCACAAGGTTTCTGAGAGTTCTTCCAGAGAGCAAGCCAGAACTGCCCCTGAAGGCCTCACCCAAAGGGTCCTGGGAGACAGACACTGCAGCTTCCTCCAGTAGGACAACGTGCTAAGGTTCTACAAGCCCTGCCTCCACCCACCCCATCCCAGCCCTGAGCCAAGATGGAGTTCTCCGAATATTGTCAACAAGAACACTACAAAAAAAAAAACCTTCTGGGGACAGAGAAGTAATCAAGCCATCAAGCCACAGAGAGAGCCTGCTTTCCAGCATGCTTGAGGGATATGAGCAACCCAGAGCAGAGGGTATAGGACATGAACACTGGTGTTTACACTGGTGGATTAAATCTTTGTTTCTCTTTTGATGCCTAAACCCTATTGTGTCAATTAGATTATGTTTGAGTCACACTTCTATTCTTTCCTGAGCTGCCCTAAGCAAATAAAAGTCCTTCATTCTCCACCTATAAAATACCTGCACAGTCTAAAGATGAGAAGCCAACAGCCTCATAATAATTAGAGTGCTAATTACTCTGCCAAACTCATGCCAGATCTTGAATCAGGTTCTGGCAAGAAACATGTAGAGGTTATCAGTATCACCCCATGATGTAGTCCCCCAATGACTCACATCTCACAGGTGAAAAGGCAGAATTTGGATCTAGAAAGTTCTGTTGCATGATCTCTTACATTCCCTGTAACTCGGACTCAGCTGTTTCCTCTCTGAAATGCTGGTAGTAACCTCTACCCTCTGTGGTTGCTGGGAGAATTACATGTGACAGTTGAGCACCCTGGAACACGTGTTGGCCCAGTTCTACAACTTTGAATAGCCATCCTAGATCTGTCTGCTCTGTTTTCCAGCTATTTACAAGGAGGTTGAACTATGAGGCCTTCCCAGTCAGACCACCAGAACAGCTGATAACAGTTTAGAAATTACACAATATTTCAATAAACTACACTAAAAAGAAATGCTGTGTACCTGGAAATGTGGCTCAGAGACAAAGCACCCAACTAGAATGCTTGAGCCTTAGCTTTGATTCCTAGAACTAACAACAAACAAACAAAAAATAAATAATGCAAAAAAAAATCACGAAACTCCCAGCACTCCAGAGGCAGAGAGGCAGGCTGTCTATGAGTTCAAGGGAGTTTATGGTAATGGCTGTGCATGAAAATGTCTCCTGCTGCTGAGAGCCATCCCCACTCCATCTTGAGCATGGGGCTGCAAGCCCAGAGGTCAGCACGAGGAATAAGGGAGACACAAGAGGTTCCTTTCTCAATAATATGAGCCCACAGACTCCATAGAGGTAGCATAAGCCTTGAGAAAGGTGAAGCTAAAAGCTAACTACAATCCTAACAATAGAGACTCCCTACCTGACCCAAGCTGACAACGCCCCATTGAGAGACCAATGTGAGAGTCAGCTTATTTTGTTAAAATGAGCACTTCAGAAAGTTTTCTGGGTTAGTGTCTGGAGAGAAAAGATGAAGGGGAGAGCAGGAGGCTGTGAGGATCCTAGAGTTTGAGAGCATTGAAATGGTCCCTTGGGACATCACACTGGATGTCACAGCTCAAAGCACTTTCACATGTGTTTTCTTACTAGTAGGCTGGGAGAGAAGAGCTATGGTTCTCCTCTTTCACATCACTGTGATGAAGACGACGACGACGACGACGACGATGATGATGATGATGATGGTGACAACAACACTAATCACTTACCATAGACAAAGAGTGAAGAAGATACCAGTCCTGAGTTTGGTCATTTTGCTACTCTCTGGGTCAGCAAATGACTTCAAGGTCAGTACATCCCTACTCTTGAAAAGTGAAGTCCCTCCCACAAAAAAATATTGCCCATAGCCAGGTGTGTTAAAGTTGGAGTCCAGAGCCTTGATGACCTGCCTCTCAACTCTGTGCCCCATCCATCACTCCTGACTATCCCTGACGCCTTGTTTCCTAAAAGACTGAAGCAAGCACAATCTCTCCATCTACCCAGCAACCATTGTCCAATCATGAGGATCTTACCCTGTTTGCCCTCAGTATCTTGAGTTCTGGATTTTTACATTCCCAAGGCTATGAAACTTGTATGAGACAACGAGAAACATAGAATTCTAAGCTGGTAGAATCACAATCTCAGTGACAATAATGACAGAAATATCAACCAAAATTATACCATAATAATGCTGATAACAGCAATATCTCATAGTGTGTCTCTTCCTGTATGCCTGATATTCTTTTAAGTGTCTAATTGTAATAACTCATTTAATATTTAAAACATAGGTATGAAATATGGTGTAGGTAAACTGAGTCATACTCAGTGACAGTCTAGGATTTATCATGTGGTAATACTGTGGTAAATTGCTTAATAACTAACTCTCTCTGTAAAGAGTGAAGGTAAAGAGAATAAAATTAGGTCACAGTTTATATTGCTGAGCCCAAGAACTACCTGTATCCCTGATGTCTTAGCTGCTTTGTGTATGATACCATTGGGTGGCGTCAAGGGAAAGCGGCTAACTGATATACACAGAGAATATCATCCTGTTCAACTAATTAACCAACTCTTTTTCTTTTTAGACCTTTTGTGTGCATTCATATGAGACACATTTTTTTTACTTTTTCTAGTTCTGATCTCTTCCCATACTCATGGTCACAAATTATCAAATCGAGTTCTTTCCAAGTCCCTGCCTATCTAGCTACACATCTAGCCAACTCATGACCAGTGTGCATTAGTAAATATAGACTTTTACCTGTAAGTCATTTATTCTTCAAAACCAAAGGAAAAATAAATAACCCTGCTCGGTGTCCTGTCACCTGGAGGGTTTCTCTTCACCATTTGTCCTCAGGCATGTTCCAGAAAGACACATGGTGTTCCAGCAATCAACTTTCAAGTAGGATAGGCACATCACATAGAACCATATATAGCCAGCATGCACTTGTTCCTATTTAGTCAATCACAAAGAGCTCATCAGGGAGGCTTAAGTTCAGGCTGTGGAGGGGAAAGCAGCAGGCCACTTGGGTCACTTCCTCATGCAACCTGTTCTTGCTTTCAGAGACTACTTGTGTTCATCCTGAAGGCAAATTGACATTTGGTGGTGTGTACCTGCTGCACATGCCAGCTCTGTGACCTGAAAAATCAGATAACACTGAGTTTATTGATGTGTATGTAGTCACTTTGGGAGTTCTAAAGTTCATGTGTCAGACTCTAAATTATTTTCTAAAGGCTTATTTGATTTTTAATTATGTGTATATGGGAGATAGCATGTGCATTTGTGACTCCTGGTGCTCATAGAGTCCAGAAAAGGGCTTCAGATCTCCTGGAGCTAGAACTACAAGCAGTTGTAAGCCACCCAACATGATTGTTTCAAACTGAACTTGGCAAGAGCAGTACATACTCTTTTTTTTTTTTTTTTTTTGGTTTTTCGAGACAGAGTTTCTCTATGTAGCCTTGGCTGTCCCAGAACCTGCTCTGTAAATCAGGCTGGCCTCGAACTCACAGAGATTCACATGCCTCCCACGTGCTGGAATTAAAGGCATGCACCATCACCTCCCGCCCAGTAAATATTCTTAATGGCTAATCATCTCTCCAGCCCTGACTTCAAATTGTTAAGATGATAATATGTCTTAAACTGGTTAATCAGCAGACTCAATCATTGCACTTCTATCATAATCTTAGCTGCTTCTTTTCTTCAAAGTAGTCAAGGAACTCAGAATGGTCAGTCAACCTTGAGAGATAAGAATAAAGCTGGAGGCCTCTTGTTTCCCAATTTCAAAACTTACTGCTAAGCTACAGCAGTGTGGTCTGGACAAGGCCTGAAATGTAATATGAGAGATTATAACTGACAGTCCAGATAGGCTTAAAATTTATTGTCAATTCACTAGAAGAAACCATCCTGAGTGAGGTAACCCAGTCACAAAAAGAGAAACATGGCATGTACTCTCTCATATATGGATTTTAGTCATAGATCTGGGGAGTGCCAGCCTACAATCCCATGGCCAGAGAGTCTGGGAAACAGAAACTTCATACAGTGGCTGATGGAAGAAGAGGCACACTCCCATGGCTAAGCACTGAGCTGAACTCAAGAAAGCCAGTAACAGAGAGGGAGGACTGATGACCAAAGGGATTAAGACTGGGCTGGTTTAACCCCCAGAAACAGCTGACCTGACAAAGGTTAACCTTTGAATCCCAGGCATCAGCCTGGGAATCCAGCATGGGACTGATCAAGACCCCCTGAATGTGGTTGTCAGTGAGGAGGCCTAGGTAATTAATTGAGCCTTGGGCAGTAGATCAGTACCCATCCCAAGTATACACACGGACTTTGGACTCCCATCCAACAATGTGAGATGCACTCTCACCCTGAACTCTTGGGGGAGGGTCTAGGCCCTGCCCTGGATGAAATGACAGACTATGGACACCCCCATGGAGGGCGTTATGCTCCCTGGGGAAATGAGGGGATAATGGGGAGCTTGGGGGAGGGGCGCGGGAGGAGGGGAGGGAAAGGGAGAGGGACCTGGAACTGACTTGTGAAGCAACCTTGTTTCTAATCTAAATTTAAACTTAAAAATAAAAAAAATAAAAATAAAAAATTTATTGTCAATTAATTTTCATCGAGATCACAGAGATTGTTCAAAGAGTAAAGAACAGTTTTCAAAATTAGTGCTGAGACAAATGGACACCCATGTGCCAAAGAATAAAATTGGGCCCTGCCATATATAATACATAAAATTACTTCAAAATGAACCAAAGACCTAAATGACACTTTTAAGACAAAACATAGGAGTAAATTTTCATGTTCTTGGATCAGGTAACCATTTCTTAAATCTACTACAAAAGTATGAAGAGAAAAAAATTAATTGAACTTTATCATAAAAACAAAGAATGCCGCCAAGAAAATTCAACCAGGTGTGGTGTCACAAGCCTGTAATTCCAGCACCTGGGAAATGGAGACAGGAAAATCAGGAGTTCAGTTCCAACCTCATCTACAAAGTCAGCCTGGGCCTGGCAGTTTGATCATGCTTCAGTGAATAGTCTGATAGCTCCAACTATACTAACAGCATGCCGTGGAGTCAATGGGTTATTAAATAAAAGTGTTTAAAAGAGGATGTAAAGTTAGGGAGCTAGAGAGACTGGGATGGATCTAGGAAGAGCTAAAAGGGGAGAGGGTGAGGGTGAATATGATCAAAATACATTGTATGAAATATTAAGAGAGTCACTACAAAAATAAAATATCAGAAAAGAGAAAAGAAAGAGATAATACGAATGCACATAAAAATATTTGCGCATTAAATATCTGATTAACTACTTGTGTCTATAATATACCTTTCACAGCCTTAAAGCTCAGAGCAGCAGAAATGGTTCAGTCATTAGGAGCACTTGCTGCTCTCCCAGAGGACACAGGTTCAGTTCCCAGCATCTACACGGGTACTCACAAACACCTGTAACTGTGGTTCTGAGGGATCAGACCCTCTTCTGGCCTCCAATGGCACTGCACACGTGTGGTGCATAGACATATATGCAGGCAAAATCGGTATACACATATTATAAAATAAATGTTAAAAATAAAACCTTAAAACTCAATAATTTAGCGATAGATAACTCGTTGGTAAGATGAATAAACGATTTGAATAAATATTTCTCTGAAGGGCATATGTGACTGAACAAAAGCATGTAAAAGAAATTTGTGGTGGTTTGAAAGAAAATGGCCCCCATAGGGAGTGACACTATTAGGAGGTCTGATTTTGTTGGAACAGGTGTGGCCTTGTTGGAGGTGTTGGAGGAAGTGTGTCACTTTGGGGGTGGACTTTGAGGTCTCCTTTGCTCAAGCTATGCTAAGTGTGATACATAGTTGCTCCTGCTGCCTGTGGAACAAGATATAGAAATCTCAGCTCCTTCTCCAGCACCATGCCTGCCTGCACACACCATGCCTAGCCCTGAAGATAATGGAGTAACCCTCTGAAATTGTAAGCCACCCCAATTAAATGTTTTTCTTTATAAGAGCTGCCATGGTCCAGCCAAACATTGGGCAGAGCTCAGGGAGTCCTACTGAGGACAGGGAGGAGTGATTGTAGGAGCCAGCAGGGTCAGGGACACCAGAGGAAAACCCACAGAAATGGTGAAATGGCTAGCTGTATATGGAAGAGGGCTGGACTGGAGGAGGTGGGGGGAGGGAGTGGGAAGGGATGCTATCGTCTGTTTGTAAAATAAATAATTTTTAAAATAATAAAAATAAATGATGATGATGAGTTTTTAAAAAAGAGCTGCTGTGGTCATGGTGTCTCTTTACAGCAGTAGAAACCCTAATACAATATTCCTCATCAATAGCCTTTGGGGAAACAGAAATCAAAACCATAGAGAGATACCATTTTACACTCCCAAGGTACTATGCTAGATTCTTCATGCACTGATGAAATAATGTACTATTGGTTTACTTACAGGAAAATGGGTAACTCACGTTCTACCACCAAAGTCCCACCCCAACTCAACCTTCTGCCTCTTATATATCCTGTCACTCTCAAGATCCTGGGCAGCTGGATCAGGAGGGAATGGTGACTGGAATCTCAGATGTGGTGACTGGAGAACCTCCCACCTCTTTCCACAGGGAGTGTTAACAGCCTCATTATCGTGGGCTCAGCTAATAACTATATAATAGTTACAATAGGATAATAATAGTATAATATGGCTGTAATAGGGTATTTAGGCTATCCTAGAATTAGCACTGTCTGTTTATCCTATTGTCTTGCCTGTGGCCAAGGCCTTTCTTCCTGAGTCACCATACCTGTTCTGCTTCAAGATGGCAATGCTCATGTCAAACCTAAAGAAAACAGCTACACTACACATTATCACCTCAGGTAAGCCTGGAGACGGTAGGAAGCATGTGGTGATGTAATCCAAGCAATCAGAAAGCTGAGGCAGAAGGACTTGGAGTTCAAAGTCATCCTAATCAATACAACAAAACACTTCTTTAAAAAATGTTGGGCAGTGGTGGCACACACCTTTTAATCCCAACACTCGGGAGGCAGAGACAGGTGGGTCTCTGAGTTTGAGGCTAGTCTGGTCTATAGAGCAAATTCCAGGACAGCCAAGGCTACACAGAAAAAATCTGTCTTGAAAAAACAAAACAAAACAAAAACAAAAACAAGGCTACACAGAAAAATTATGTCTTGAAAAAAACAAAACAAAAACAATACCTTCTAATTAAATTCCTAGGAAAAGGTATTATCGGGCTGTCAGAAAGGTATCGGTTCCATATCTCAAAATACACAACTCTGTCCGGACAAATCAGGACTCAAACCCAGTTCTGTCAATTCTATTGCTACTGCCCTTCCCCCATACCAGTCCTGATGCCAGGATCCCAGGCTTGGGCCCTGGACACTGTGTACCCTACCTACCCCCACTCCTGCCCTCTCCCAAGCCCCATGCTGCTGGTTGGGTTCAGACTTTCTGTTCATTTCCCTTGCCAGCCAGTCTGTGGACAAAAGGTAATCTTGGCAGAACAGCTACCTGGCTTCATTCCTTATGGGAAGGAAATCCATAGCCAGAGAAACACACTGTGTCTAAGGAAGCCCTGGAGGTCCCAAGGGAAGGGACAGAAAATACTCTCCTCTGCAAATGGGTCAGGCCAGAGACGTCTGCCTACCTGCCTGTTTACCAGGGACCCTTAGAGGGAGGAATCAAGAAAAACATGATCCTTGCACAGGAGCTCATGGCCAGATCCTAACCCAAACAGACATCAGAACAAAGGACCATAGGGAAATAGCAGTGGAAAAGCAGGCATTCTGTAGTGGGGCAGTCAGGAGCTCTGGCTTGCCCTGCAAGTTCGAAGTCTGGATGTCTAACCTCACTCCTTCCCAGGGTGATCACAGCAAGTTTAGAATGGCCTACCTGTTCCCATTGCCCCTTTCTGCTCCTTAGCAAAAGGAGGGCTAGGCTGGGAGCAGGGGCTTTTCCTAGGACAGAAGACTCTCTAGGGGGGAGGTGAGATGAAGATGAGGGAGGGTAGAGTCAGTTATCATTGTCATCTCACCTGGCAGGTCAGGCCTTATGCTTGGCTGAGTCAATCAGGCCAGAGGCGGATTGGTGGGATAAGGGCCAAATATTGCCAGAGTGGTGCTGCTCCTTCATAAAGAGAGGACGAGCTGCTCAGAGTTCAGCACGAGCTGCAGGGCCATGGCCAAGAGGAGTGGTAAGTGGGGTCCTCCTCCAGGTCTGGAAAAGGCTGAGCAAGGGAGTGCTAGACACTGATTTAGGCATAGGTGCTGGATGGGTAAGGACATACGTAAACAGGTTAGGCATGGGTCTGAGGACGTCTCGGCCGAGGGTCATATAAGAGTGAAGAGAATAAAAACTGGGACAGGGACTTAGCTTCACCAGGACCTGGGGATAGGTCAGGGTGTTGCAAGTGAGGTCAATGGAGAGGGATCTGGAGGAGGGGGTTGGATACATTCTGGGGAGAGTACAAAAGGACCAAGAAACAAATGTTGAAAGCTTAGGGGAAACCGTAAGGGCTGGGGACTGGATAAGAAGGTTAAGGTAGATCTGTGGGGTGAGGAGAGGGGTGGAGTCTTAGAGGTTCTCTCCCTTGGGCCTCGTGATGTCTCTTCTCTTTTCTAGTGAGCTGTTCCAGCAGCAGGCTGTTTTGGCATTAGGAAGGTTCTGGTGCACCTCCTCAGCTGGTGGTCCCTAAAAGTCCTCTTCTTAGAGGAGCTTCAGTTGCCTTGACATTACAAAGATCAAAGTAAGGGGGTTCTCACCAGCCAAAAACTCAGCTTCTGGACAAAGCTCAGAGTTCTGGTCCTTGCCTGGTCCACTTGTGAGAGGTGACACTGAGGAGACCATACAGCCCTTCATGTCAGACAAGACTAGCTAACTATGAAAAAGAGAATCAAGTCACCCAAGGCTTGTTGTATGGTAGCTGTTAACTATCTGAGTGATGAGTTCCAATGCTGACATCACATTAAATACCTGGGAAGCTTGGAGAAACCATAGATGAGGCTGGAGAAAACACAGGGGCTGCCTGTTTCCCACAGGCCACTTCTCACTCCACTCAGAGAACTGAGCCTTCCTCACTTGCACACTCACCTTTCCACAAGTACACACACCCCTGTCTCCCTCTCACACATTCGACAACTCTTTTCCCCACACAGCTTCACTTCCCAGAAGCATCCACAGAACCCCACAAGCACCCACCTTCTCATACATCTCACCCTCACTCACTGTAAGATCCAGTTCTAAGTCTGTCCCATAGATCCATACACACTGAGACAGCCACACTGCGCCACGGATACATCCCTCACATGCACACTGAGACAGCCACGATGCATCCCTCACATGCAGTCACGAACTACGCAGTCATCCGAAGCAAGAGCAAACTACAACCACAGTCCCACCCACAAACTGACAGTTATACACAACCACAGTCCTTTATACACTCACAGGTGAGCACACATGCACACTCCACATGAGGAGCAGACACATGTATACTCAGCTACGAATCCCCCGCCCCCATCCATGAGCTTCCAGGGTGCAAGCTGTGTTAATCACACAAACAGCACTACAGTTCACAATAGCCTGCACAACACAATTGCCCTCATATAGACATAATGCCAAATATTCGTATCTACAGCCACACGCTTGTCAGACACTGCCCTCACCTGCTTGCCCAGCGCCAGCTCCCACAGTCAAGCTCATCCTGGATAAACAGGTCCCAGCGGCTCCAGAAAGCCACTCCCTTGCTTTCTTTGCCACCAGGCATCTTTATTTTGGGGATCCTGCTATCCATCTCCAGCTGCCTTGCCTTCTATGAGGACCTTGTCAAGTGTTTCCAGGACCCGGATTATAACAGCTTCCTTCTCACAGCCCAGAATGGGCTCCATACCTCCCCACTGCCCAAGAGAGTGGTGGTAGTGGGAGCTGGCATAGCAGGCCTAGTGGCAGCTAAGACCCTGCAGGATGCTGGTCACAAGGTAAGAAGGTCTTGAAAGGCCTCGAGCATCAGTCCCCAGTTTGCGTGGAAAAGGAGTGAGTGTCCTGACAGGGAGCAGTGCATAACTGCAGGCTCCCACCAGTCTCTGTAGCCTGTGGCCCTTAATCATTGCTAACCGCCATCTGTGTTCTTATGGAGACAAGAATGGAGACACATGCTACCAGGCAAGGGCCTCGAATAACTCAGGACCCTCTGGAGCAAACAGCCCCAGTGAAGTCACCCTACATGTTCATGGCCCCCAAGCCAGAGCCTATGGCTACTGGGGGGTGAGAAGTGGGATGGGGAGAATGACAGTCCCTAAGAATGACAGCAGATTCTCTGAACTCCAGGTAACCATCTTGGAGGCCAGGGACTACATTGGAGGCCGGGTACTCACAGTCAGAAACAAAAAGGAAGGCTGGTACTTTGAATTAGGACCGATGCGAATCCCAGCAAGCCACAAGTGAGTCCTGTACAAGAGAAAGAGCAAAAGGAACATAGTGGGGATGAGGAAAAGGCAGGAGGGACCCCGGTGCCATCGTTTCTAAGATCTTTCAGACTCACTGTGTCATGTGATCCAACCCAGTAAGTCAGGGCTGATACTCAACTCCCACTTCAGAGAGAAGGCTGATGTCACAGGAAGTGACAGATCCCAAACTGACAATTGCAGTCGTTGTTGCCAACTCATCAAACTGTGGAATGCAAATATGGGCAGTTTCATGTTTGCCAGTTACGTCAAAACAAGCTGAGAAATTATAGCACATCATTATTAATAATGTCTACCATTTGTTGAGCACTAACTTTGCTCTAGATCCTATCTCCACAGAAGTTTCTTTTTTCTTTTTTCTCTTTTGCCTTTAATATAAATTGAACTCTCACTCACCCTCCAAACTACCAAAAACATAAACAACTGCACCGGCCCAAAGTGGAGTCATTAAATGCAGCCTCAAAGTAACTAGAAATGCATGAAGGGATCTCAAATGCTGCTGAAACAAAGGACATCTGTCTACACTTTTGTGTCCTATTAGCTGGGACTTTGTAAAGGGCCTGAATTCAATGAACTTCTAGTCCTCTGTAGCCATAGGAGGCGGGGAGCTAATGCCCACAACATTCAATGAGACTACAACTGAACAAGTGGTTAGTTTGAGCTTCCTAGGCACAAGGTTACTCTGGTTTCACCAGAAATAGTTTCTAATATGGAACGAGAAGGAACAAGGATATTATTCTTCCTGCTTCCTCTCCAGGCTAACCCACACCTATGTCAAGAAGCTTGGTCTGAAGCTGAATAAATTCATCCAGTATGATAACAACACCTGGTACCTACTCAATGGGCGGCGTTATCGTGCCTGGGAAGTCAAGGCTAACCCAGGGATCTTGGGCTACCCTGTGAGCCCCACAGAGAAGAGCAAAACTGCCCAAGACCTCTTCCACCAAGCCATCACTAAGGTGCCTGCTGCCTTTCCCAGCTGGGATCAAGTAGGAAAGGGGTGGTACCTAAGGTCACACAGCAAATCAGTACATGAATTCAGATCACTTGACCCCACCCAACATTGTTATGATTGGTCCACCTGCCTTATAACACCTGTTAATGATGTCACCACCCTCAACCCTTCTCTTCTGTCTTCCTGCAATCTAGAGAACATGATTTGGTCAGCAGCAGTGTAAAGAAAGGATTAACTAGATTAGGCAGTCCTTGGAAGTGAGTTGGTCATCCTAGATGACCGTGAAGATCTTTACCTTAACGTGTCCGTGTGTGTGCATGTGTGTGTGCACGCACATGTGTGCGTGTGTGCATATGTGTTTAGGTGAATGTGGGTGCATGTGCATATCTGTGTAGAAGCCAACATCAGCTATCTTCTTCAATTGCTTCCGACTTTTTATTTTATTTTTATTTTATTTTTGGCAGGGTTTTTACTGAACCAAGCTTACTAATTCTACTAGACTGGCTGGTCAACAAACCCCAGGAATCCTACTGTTTCTACCTTCCCAATGTTGCCACTGAAGTCATGTAATATCATACTCTGATTTTTTTAAAAAAACACTTGATGTGCATTGGTGTTTTGCCTGCATGTATGTCTGTGCAAAGGTGTCAGATCCCCTGGAACTGGAGTTACAGTTGTGAACTGCTTGCTGTGTGGGTGCTATGTGGGAACTGAACTCGGGTCCTCTGGAAGAACAGCCAGTGCTCTTAACCCCTGAGCCACCTCTCCAGCTCCAACATACCCTACTTTTAGATGGATGCTGGGGTTAGAGCTCAAGTCCTCAGTCTTATACAGCAAATGTTCTACCATCTGAATATTCACCTTTAATTTTTGTCTTGAACGGATCTTTTGTTACAAGTCATGTGTGGTATTATGAGCTTTTAATCCCAGTACTTGGGAAGTGGAGGTAGGAGGATCCAGAATTGAAGAGCAGCCTCAGCTACACAGTGAGTTTGAAGCCAATCTAGGCTACATGAGACCCTGTCAACAAAAGAGTGTCTTTAAAGGTGCTCTGGGAGCTGCCCTTTGCTGCATTTTTCCAGCCTCTCCAAGGGACATCCAAAGAATCTCTAATCTAAAGGCATGTGAGGCACCTTTCGCCCGGTGACCTTGTCTATGACAGTGTAGGTGTCCTGGGCACCTGGAGGCCCAGTGTGTTAATATCGCTCCTCCCCTCCTGCAGATCAAACAACATTTGAAGGCATTCAACTGCAGCCAACTGATGTCCATTTATGACTCTTACTCTACCAAGGTAAGTGAAACCAAAGGCCCCAGGATGGAGGTGGAGTGATGGACTCCGTGCTAGGCCAAGGCCCTGAGTCATTGTCCTGCCTACAGAGTGCCCTCTGCATACTGCCAAAGCGTTTGCCTCCCTCAAGCCCAGATCTAACCTTGCTGGGCTGAGGCCCCGCTAAAGCTTTCCTGTATACTAGACACTGTGGCCCATCCTTGCATCTATGGTGCCTCCTTCCCACAGTCTTATCTGACAAAGGAAGGAATGCTGAGCAAAGGAGCTATTGAGATGATCGGGGATGTGATGAACGAGAACGCTGGATACTACAAGTCCCTCCTGGAGTCCCTGAGGATTGCTAGCATCTTCTCCAGAAATGATGAGTAAGGCTGATGTGGGGCCAGGAAGAACCCGGTCCCCAGCACTGGTTTATTGGGTATTTACTATACAAGGGGCACTCAAGTCAATACCTGCCTGACACGGGGCTGTGTATTCATGAAGGTAATGCTTATTAAGTGTCTCACACAAGAGTGCAGGGAGATAGGTTCTTCCCTGTTCAGACCAGAGGAATGGCCAGTACTGGGACACACAGGTCTGGTAGCATCTCCCGCCTCATCTTCCTCTCTCCACCCCGGCAGATTTTCAGAGATCATCGGTGGCTTTGACCAACTCCCCAATGGCATCAGTGCCAGCCTGAAGCCTAGCACCATCCATTTGAGGTCCAGAGTAGAAGCAGTGGTGAGAAACGGGACTAAGGTTGAGGTTTTGTACCACACCGCTGGCCCCACCTCCCCACTGCGCAAACTCACTGCTGACTATGTCATCAGCTCAGCCTCAGCCAAGGCCACACGGCTCATAACCTTCCAGCCACCCCTGTCCTCAGACAAAACACACGCCCTGCGCTCTGTGCATTATACCAGTGCCACCAAGGTGGTTTTGGTGTGCAACAAACGCTTCTGGGAACAGGATGGCATCCGGGGAGGCCACTCCATCACAGACCGGCCCTCACGCTACATTTACTATCCCAGCCACAGACTGCCAGGTGGCAAGGGCGTCCTGCTGGCCTCTTACACTGTGGGCGATGATTCCTTCTTCTTTGCGGCCATGAAGCCCAACCAGGTGGTGAATATTATCCTGGATGACCTGGCTGCAGTGCACCACATACCCAAGGAAGAGCTAAAACGCATGTGCCCAAAATCAGTGGTCAAGCATTGGTCCCTAGACCCCCTCACCATTGGCGCCTTTGCTGAATTCACACCCTACCAATTTGTGGACTATTCAAAGAAGCTCTTCCAGCCAGAGGACCGCATCCACTTTGCTGGAGAGCATACCAGCCTGCCCCATGGCTGGATAGACACTGCCATCAAGTCTGGCATCCGGGCTGCCAAGAACATTCAGGCCATGGTGGACAAGGAGGCTACTCAGGGACAGAGGCCTCTCTAGAGGTCTTTTACAAACAACTGGGGTGGTTTCTTTCCCAAGAACAGTCTCTAGGAGAATCTGGCAGAGTAGGCCCGGAGATGAAAGGAGACAAAGACCCCCCAGGAGAGAGGTTACCACCGGTCCTTTGGTCTTCAAGCAGGAACCCAGCTGGGAAGCTGGCAAGTGACATCATGCCTTTCCTGTCTCACTCGCTGCCTAGCTCTCTACAGGAAACAACAGAGTTGGGGTGCATGGAGGCATGGGTGGGAGTCAAGGCTGAAGAATCCTAGAATCAGCCTTTAGCATGTCTCCTGCTGCAAAACAATAACAAACAAAAAAAGAAAAGATTCTGAGCCTGGTCAGTGTCACTTACAACTAGAAGTTCCAAAACAAGCAGACAAACCCCAAGGTACCGGCAGACTAACACAGTCACTCACACCCACAATACACACAAGCTCCATCGCTGTGTGCCTTAGCCAAGAGCCTCTCATCTTGGCCCAATGTGGGTGGAAAAGGAGGGGGGGTCTTAGCTGCTTTTTTTCTTTGGTGCATTAGTGGGATCTCAGCTACCCTGAAAGACTCTCTCCCACACACCAGCCAAACCCCTAGCCATTGCTACCATAGTCTATACACAGTCCTGAGGGGACACCATGCTCCTTCTCCACTCTTTCCCTTACTAAAACCCTCCGGTCTTTACAAAACCAGCCTACATTATCCTTCCTCAAATCCTCCCTTGACTCTTCCCCAACCCAAGGTCCTCTCTCCTCTGAGCCACAATTTTCCCTCTCTAGAATGCAATTGACTGAAGACCTTACTGAGATCATGCCCCCAACCAGACCAGGAGACCCCCCTCAGGGCTAAGATCACATATTTTATGGTGTGTGTGTGTGTGTGTGTGTGTGTGTGTGTGTGTCGCGCGCGCGTGCCTGCCATGACTTACTAAACATGCCATATGCCTGTCATCATATGGCACTTGGCTAAGAAGCAGAAACACAGAGAGTATGAAACAGTGAGAATCAACCCCCTTCACCTGCCTCCCTATGTGGTCAAAGATCAGTTCCCAAATCTGACTCAATTTTTGTTCCAAATTCTTAGAAGCCAAGAGTTATTCCTGAGTCTTGGGGGCTCGACCTGGTAAAAAAGAAAGGTAAACTGAGTCACAAGCACTCCTCATTTGACAAACACAAGCATGATGAAGTACAGGTTGGTGTTTTGTGGAAGACTGGCATGTGATATGGGAGGGAAGAGGAGGGAAAGAAAATGCCCATTTTCTACTGTAACATGGCCCATTGTTAAATCTAGACATCTCTTCTCAGATATCCAATGACAGTCAGGGCATTTTTAGTTCCAAGTGATAGAAATCAAACTGGGGCTTTCGGGGGCGGGGCCCCATGTCCAGGAGGAAGCTGCTTTTATCAGAGCAACTATACTCCAGACTGAAAAAATAGTGTTAAAGACCCAGGGTCTAGATCTAGGTGGCCCTGCCCACTTCTCCATTGCTGACAAACACCTGTGGTATGACACATACAAAGACACATAATAGTGGGCTCTCCTCCATTGCAAACAGTCAGAAGATGCACACTTGGTTAAGCCATTACAGCAAGCAAACCAGGTATTTTCTGGATCCTGGAAATACACTCAACCACCATTCCGGAGTTAAGCTGCTGTACCTGGCTGTAGTAATCTGCACAAGGGAGCTATCTAGGGGGTATCTTGGTGACATTAAGCAGTCATCTTTCATTTGGAGGTCCCCCAGGGAGAGCTTAAACTGGTCTCTTTTACAGCTGTTAGGGTTGGAAGTATTGTTTGATTAGTTCTAATCCCAAAATGATATGGGGATTTGGATCTAGGCATAGCTAGCAGTCTCTGTGTCTGGCTGAGAATGGTGAAGAAACAGATACCAAACTCCAAGAAGCTGGCTTCAGCTGCCTCTTGACTTATCCTTAAGGATACTGAGGGAGTTCCTGGGCAAAGTGGAGGTTTAGGGCTTACACTTACCACCTTGGAGGAGGTCATATCTCAGTAATGCCAACATGGGCTAGTTCAGGACAATAGGCCCGTTCAGCCCAATGGGCCAGATGACCCTAGGAGGAGGTTTCTTTTGAATAGAAAAGTTCTACCTTGGTTTGAACCATTCAGGTATAACCTGACTCCGCAGGTTCTACTAGTTTCCCATTATTGGGCTTCCTGCCAGGCCCTAACCTATATGGATATAGGATTGCATTGCCTGTGGCCACAGATAGGTGATGATGGTTTTCTCACTGATCTATGAAAGGATCAGCGTGCCCGAACAGGACTCCGTTTTGCAACCTCACTGAGTACAATAGTATTTATTCTCCTGGCTTCTGGCAGCTGGGGGTGGGGCATCAGCCAGGCAGGCATGGTACTGGAGAGATCGGCTCTCCTTCTCTTTACCAGTGGAACCATAGCCCCCGGGAGCCTCTGGTTGAATAGTTTACAGAAATCTACCTGGAAGGTGGGTTGGGTCTCGGTGGATAGATTGGCTATGAGCTCCCCAGTCCTGGTCAGTCCCGGCTTATGGGGAGGTGGAGCCTTTCCCACAGGAAAACAAAGAAGAAAAATAGGACAACCATGATTATAGGTTCCATGTCAGTCATATCATTAGGGGGTCAGAGAATGTAGTGACCCGTCTGTGGTTATCTTCTGTAGCCTCCTTTAGCTGGGTCTGGTGTATCCATGGGGTGACCAGCGGCCTTCACCACTGTGGGGGTGATGAGGACCACAGGACATAGGTCTTTCTACACTGGCTCCAGGCTCTGGGTTGGGATCCTCTACTCACACAAGGTCTCCAGGCTGGAACTTGTGGGCAGGCTCAGATTCCGGCAAAGGTTCAACCTTTTGAACGGTCTGATGAATAGTCCTCTGGGTATGTTGCAGGACATGTAAGAACTTGAAGAGGTGATGATAATGTCCGCCTTATAAACAGATTAAGGAGGGAGGGGTGATCACCCAAAAGATTTCAAATAGGATGATGGGGGGCCTTAGAAGGGTATAGGGCAGGAGATTGGCCCAATTTTAGCTGGTCTCCAGGACACATTTAGTTAAAGTCTCTTTTAAGGTTCTAGTCATCCTTTGTACCTGCCCTGGGCTTAGTTTCAAATCAACATTTAGGACCTTTGCCAGATTTGGGAAAACTGGTCATGAAGACCAGGCCATTGCTGGACCCCAGGGAGAAGGGCAATCAAAATCTAGAAATTAACTCTTGGAGGAGTTTCTTGGTGACCACTGACGATGTTTCCATTCAGATGGGATAGGCTTCCACCCATCCCGAGAAGGTATCTATGACAACTAAGAAATACTTATACCTAAGAACCATGGGTAAATTCCACTTCCTAGTGTTCTCTGGGAATGGATTCCTTCCAGGGCCTTTTTTTTCCTTCTTTGAGGTTCACTTGCACACAAATGGTCCATCAAGACACCATGTCTTTGACAAGATTGTCTAGTTGAGGGATATAATATATGGTCTGAGTAACTCAGCAGTTTTTCATGGCTCCTGGTGGGTGGCCTGTTAGAGTTTAATGACCACTTGTCTTCTGAAAACAGCAGGGAGTTGAGGCCTCCCATTCTGTAAGAATCACCACTTATTTGTGTCCTGCTTGACATCTTCCTTTTCTGACATCTGGTCTCTTCCTGTGTATAATTTCAGCATTGGAACAATTAGGTTCAGGCAGGGTGATCAAGATCTGGAGAGGCCCAACTGGTTCTAGGGCCACTTTCTAGGTGACTAAGTTTGCTGCCCTGTTTCCTTGGCCTCCTGGCTTCCCGATTTTGATGCCCTTGGCAATGGGCAGCATTGACCTCTTTTGGCAGCTTGGGGCCTCTAATAGGGTCAGCATTTCTTCTTTGTTTTTAATTTCCTTCCCTACAAAGGTGAGGGGTGCCCTCTCCCTACAGAGGGAACTACAGACATGGGCTATGGCAAATGCATTCAGACCGTGTACCCAGGTAGCTATGGCAAATGCATACAGATCATGTGCCCCATGATGGCTTTGCCCTTCCCCCAGGGAAGCACCTGGGTTAATGCCTAGAGCCCGGCCCTTTGTGCTGATGTCCCTCAACTGAGAGACTGGGCCCATGCTGTCCTGTCTAAGGTGAAAACTGCAGCCAGCATACCTGATTCTGTGAGGAGCCGCCCTCGCTATCGCTATTGCCGTTAGAAGATGGCGCTGACATCTGCTGTCAGTTGGAGTTAACCGTTTAAGCTGTGCCTCTCCCGTGGCGTCATCTGGGGTGATGTGCAAACCACCAATCCCGGCTCTACACGTCTCACTCGGAGCTCCTAGGCTTATATAAGGGGCTGGGTTTCTTAGCTTGGGGTCTCCCTCTAAGAAGCTGATCATCTATCTCTCAAGATGCATTAAAGCTTTACTGCAGAAGGATCCGAGTGTTCTGCGTCGTTCTTGCTGGCGAGACGGTAGCGCGGGACATCTGGTGCCGAAACCCGGGAACTCTTCAACATCGCCGGCGCCGCGGGAGACCCCTCGGAAGACGGGGCGGATTCAGAACTGCAGGGACGTAAGTTCAGAGAGGTATGCTTTATCCTGAATACCCCCTTTCTCGACTTTGGCCTTAGTTTGTCATCACCGTGGGACGGGTCAGTGGAGGCTTTGGTGCTAGTCCTGTTTGTCCTTCTCCTTCATCGTGGCTGGTGCTGACAGAACGGTGCTGTCAGTCTGGTGCTGTCAGTCTGGTGCTGTCAGTCTGGTGCTGTCAGTCTGGTGCTGTCAGTCTGGTAACGGAGTTGAGCGCCGTTTTTAGATAAGCCGCTAGCGCGATGGGGTTGTCACAGTCAGTGGTTACTGCCCTACAGACTGTGCTAAAACAAAGAGATCTCAAAATTGCACCACGAACACTTCAAAATTTTGTGAAGGAGGTAGATAGAGTGGCACCATGGTATGCTTGTTCCGGGTCCCTCACTGTGGCCTCATGGAACAAGCTAGGTAAAGAACTAGACAGGAAGCATGCAGAAGGAGATCTCCACTTAGGTACCAAAGCCATTTGGAAGCTAGTTAAAAACTGCTTGGAGGATGAGGCCTGTCACCCTGCTATAATAGAAAGTCAGGGAACCTTAGAGGAAGTTCAGGATAGCATGTCAGAAACTGAACGGAGTGAGAGAATGGGAGCTCGCAAAAGGAAAGACATGTCTAAGAAAAAAGGCCCTCCCCAAGAAGTTAAGAAAGGGGGAGAGAAAGAAGGGAGTGATCATTCACCCCCTAACAAATCTAAGAAAAAGAAAAGGCCAGAATCTAGTCTATACCCTACAGTAGAGCTAGAAGCCTTGGAGCTAGATAATTCTGATTCTGACACTCTGTATTCTAGCGAAGAAGGTGGTCTAGAGGAGGAGGTGGCACGGTATGAGGAAGAAAGATATCACCCTGATAGACACCGGCCACTGAAAACAAAAATGAATGTGAGGCCACCGCCTATAAATCCGGCGGGCTCACGCCCCTCAGCGCCTCCGCAGTATGAGCTTCGGCTGAATACTGGTACTGACTCCTTTTTACCTTTAGAGGAACGGAGAAAAATACAAGTAGCTTTTCCAGTATTCGAGAATGTGGAAGGCGGAAGAGTACATACTCCCGTAGATTACAATCAAATCAAAGAATTGGCCGAATCCGTTCGTAATTATGGGGTCAATGCTAACTTTACCACATTACAGGTGGAAAGGCTTGCTAATTTTGCCATGACTCCCACTGACTGGCAGACGACAGTGAAAGCAGTGCTTCCCAACATGGGACAATACATGGAATGGAAGGCTCTCTGGTATGATGCAGCCCAGGCACAAGCTAGAGTTAATGCCACGGCTGAAGATGAGAATCAGAGGCAGTGGACATTTGAAATGCTGACAGGTCAGGGTCAACATGCCCTTAATCAAACCAACTACATCTGGGGTGTCTATGGTCAGGTGTCGGCCGCCGCTATTAAAGCATGGAAGGCCCTCACAAAAAGGGGAGAGTCCAGTGGACACCTTACAAAGATTGTCCAAGGACCCCAAGAGCCATTTTCAGACTTTGTGGCCAGAATGACAGAGGCCGCCAGTCGCATCTTTGGTGATTCAGAACAAGCTATGCCCCTGATTGAGCAACTTGTCTATGAACAAGCAACCCAGGAATGTCGAGCGGCTATCGCCCTCGCAAAAGCAAAGGTTTACAAGATTGGCTCAGAGTGTGCAGGGAGCTGGGGGACCCCTAACCAATGCAGGACTAGCTGCCGCCATTTTACAAACGCACAGGTATAGAGATTTATCTAGTCGAAAAGCTTGTTTTAATTGTGGGAGAATGGGGCACCTTAAGAAAGATTGTCAAGCCCCTGAAAGAACAAGAGAACTGAAGCTTTGCCATCGTTGTGGTAAAGGTTATCATAGGGCTAGCGAATGCAGGTCAGTCCGGGATGTAAAAGGGAGGCTTCTGCCCCCTATTGAAGAACCCAAGGTACCCCAATCAAAAAACGGGTCACGGGGCCCATGGTCCCAGGGCCCTCAGAAATATGGGAACCAATTTCAGAAAAGCAATCAAGAGGAAGTAGAGGCTTCCGAGGAACCCCCGGAATGGACTTGCGTGCCGCCTCCGACTTCTTACTCATGCCCCAAATGAATGTTCAACCGGTCCCAGTCCATTGCCCTGGACCTTTGCCCCCTGCCACCATTGGGCTTATTCTGGGCCGTGGCTCCTTAACTTTACAGGGACTCATTATATATCCTGGAATTGTTGACCCGTATCATAAAGAGGAGATTCAAGTTCTCTGTTCTAGCCCTCGGGGTGTATTTTCTATAAAGCAGGGAGATAGAATTGCACAACTGGTGTTGCTGCCCTCCCTCGGGGATGGAGAAACCTACACTTTACAAAAAAGGGCTATGGGATCTTCTGGAAGTGATTCAGCCTATCTGGCTATACCCCTAAATGAGAGACCTACAATAAAATTGTTAATTAATGGAAAAGAATTTGAAGGGATAATGGATACGGGAGCAGACAAAAGCATTATTTCACTCCATTGGTGGCCGAAGTCTTGGCCCACTGTTGTTTCATCTCATTCTCTACAAGGTCTTGGATACCAGTCCTCTCCTGCCATCAGTGCCTCAGCCTTAACCTGGCGGAATGCTGAGGGCAAACAGGGATGTTTTACCCCCTATGTGTTGCCACTCCCTGTAAATTTATGGGGACGGGATGTGTTACAAGCCATGGGCATGACCCTAACTAATGAATACTCCCCCAGGCATCAGCCATTATGGCAAAGATGGGGTATACAAACGGTAGAGGCTTGGGTAGGCAAGAACAAGGCAGAATAACACCCATTACGCAACACGGAAATCGGGGTAGAAAAGGACTGGGTTTTATTTAGGGGCCGTTGAGGCTTCACGACCCATACCATGGAAAACAGAGGAGCCGTTATGGGTCTCTCAATGGCCTCTATCCTCTGAAAAATTAGAGGCTGTCACAAGATTAGTGCAAGAACAGGAACGGCTGGGGCATCTAGAGCCTTCTACCTCCCCATGGAATACACCAATTTTTGTTATTAAGAAGAAATCTGGGAAGTGGAGATTACTCCATGACCTGCGGGCCATTAACAATCAGATGCATCTTTTTGGCCCTGTTCAAAGAGGCCTTCCTTTGCTTTCTGCACTTCCTCAAGATTGGAAGCTTATTATTATAGATATTAAGGATTGTTTCTTCTCTATTCCACTTTACCCACGGGATAGACCAAGGTTTGCCTTCACTATCCCTTCTCTTAATCATATGGAACCAGACAAGAGATTTCAGTGGAAGGTACTGCCGCAAGGCATGGCCAATAGCCCAACAATATGTCAGCTGTATGTGCAGGAGGCTTTGGAGCCAATTAGGAAGCAATTTACATCTTTAATCGTTATCCATTATATGGACGATATTCTTATTTGTCACAAAGAGTTAGATGTTTTACAAAGGCTTTCCCCATGCTGGTGGCTGAATTAAAACAGTGGGGATTAGAGATTGCCTCAGAAAAGGTTCAAATTGCAGATACAGGCCTCTTTTTGGGCTCAATGATTACTCCCAAAAATATAGTTCCTCAGAAAATAGAAATTCGCAAAGACCACTTACAAACATTAAATGATTTTCAGAAACTTCTGGGAGATATAAATTGGTTGAGGCCCTTTTTAAAAATTCCATCTGCTGATCTAAAACCCCTCTTCGATCTCCTGGAGGGTGAGCCTCATATCTCCTCACCCAGAAAATTTACCCCTGCCGCCCACCGAGCCTTACAGATGGTGGAAGAGGCCTTACAGGAAGCACAATTACAACGTATTGAGGAGTCACTACCTTTTAATCTGTGTGTTTTTAAGACAGCTCAATTGCCAACTGCAGTCCTGTGGCAACATGGACCATTACTTTGGATTCATCCAAATGCTTCCCCTGCTAAGATTATTGACTGGTACCCTGATGCTGTTGCACAGCCTGCGCTTCGCGGAATAAAAGCAGCTGTTACACATTTTGGCAGGGATCCTGATTCCTTGATTGTGCCTTATACTGCTGCACAAGTTCAGACCTTGGCAGCCACATCTAGTGATTGGGCAGTTTTAGTTACTTCCTTTTCAGGACAAATTGATAATCATTTTCCAAAGCATCCAATTTTACAGTTTGCCCTAAACCAGGCTATAGTGTTTCCACAAGTGACAGCTAAAGACCCACTCCCAGATGGGACTGTGGTGTACACTGATGGATCAAAAACTGGTATGGGAGCTTATGTGGTCAAGGATAGGGTTATATCTAAACAATATAATGAAACTTCACCTCAAGTTGTAGAATGTCTGATAGTACTGGAGGTTCTTGAGGCTTTTCCAGGACCCCTCAATATTGTATCAGATTCCTCTTATGTGGTTAATGCAGTTAATCTCCTTGAGATAGCTGGAATAATAAGATCCTCCAGCAGAGTTGCTAACATCTTTCAAAAGATACAAGCTGCCTTGTTAAATAGGAGATTTCCTGTTTTCATTACCCATGTCCGAGCACATTCTGGACTCCCAGGTCCCATGTCCTTAGGGAATGACTTAGCGGACAAGGCTACAAAGCTGGTGGCCGCTGCCTTGTCTACCCATGCACAAGCAGCAAAAGAATTCCATAAGCGCTTTCATGTGACGGCTGAGACCTTGCGCCGTCGTTTTGCTCTATCCAGGAAAGAGGCTAGG